GTTAAGAGAAAATAATGCCATCTTTCTTCCCCCCAAATGTTCACAGGCCACTGACTTCTGCCCACAGATCTCAGGCAGAAGGTTAAGGCCCCTGGTCTAGTCAGAGAGAACAACTTGGGAATAGGTTCAGGTAGGAAAATCTGGAGTGTGTTCCAGGTGAGCTGGTGGGAAGTGGGAGGAGATGTGCAGTGGTAGGGAGCTGACCCTGGAGTGAGGGGTCGGGAGTTTGAACCCTGACTCTGCCCCTTAACTTTTCTGTTTTCTTATCTGTAAAATGAGGGTGACAGTAACAGTGTCTATCACATCAGGTTGTTTCCAGAATTAAATAAGTCAATTCACATAAAGTGCTTAGAATGGGCCATAAGTAGTAGCACTTAATAAACGTGGGCTTTTATAACCTCTTTTTCCAGTCACTCCGCAGTGCGTAACAATTTTCTGTATTTGCTTAGTTGTAGCCTTCATGTAGATATACATATAATTTTATATCCTGCTTCTTGCTCTTCATATTATTACACAAATATTTTTAAGATTATTATAAACTGTTCATAAGCATTTTAAATGCCTAAGTAATATCCCACTTGGGTATATGACCCACACTTTAGATAGCTATTGCCTTATGATTGGACATTTAGCTTATTTCCAATTTTCTATGAAAAGAGTTGAGTGGGCTTCAATGTGGTTCAACAGCTATTTATTGAGCACCTTAACTCTGAGTCCAGCCCTGTGCTAGGCATGGAGGACACAGAGATAAATAAGACAAGCTTTCTGCCCTGCAGGAGCACACAGACCTACGTTTAGGATTATAATTGGCCTTGCTTTGGAGAACAGATTGGAAAATGAAGAATCCTGGAGACGGAGAAAGCCCTTAGGAGGCAGGTAGCAAAAGGGGCTGACGGATCTGTGACAGTGGGAGTGGGAAGGAAAGGATAGTGGGGGGTGAGCAGGTCAAATGGTCAGAACCTGGCCCCTGATTGGTATAGCGAGTGAGTAGATGCAGTAAGGAGAGGTAAGGAAGAGTCAAGGGCGACCACGGTTTGAACTTCAGGAGCTAAGGAGGGTAAAGTGAAGTGGTTAAGAGCTTGGGCTTTGATGCCAGATGGATCTCCAAATTCAAGCCCAGCTCTACCATATATGACCTGTGTGACCTTGAACAAGTTACTTAAATTTTCTAAGCCTCAGTTTCGCCATCTGTAAAGTGGGGATAATAATGAGTCTTCCTGACAGTGTGGAGATCAAATCAGATTACGTATGAAAAGTATATAACAGACATGATGTATTGGGAATAATAATAATGAGTCCTGTAGCACGTCAGTACCACTCTAAGTGCCTTGTATGTATTAACTCACTTTAATTCTCACGACATTCCCTGCAGGAGAGGTGCTGTTAGCATCCCAGTTCTATAGATGAGAAAGCAGTCTCAGAGAGTTTGGGTAACTTGCTCAAGGTCTCACAGCTAGTAAGTGACCCAGTCAAGACTCACACTCAGATAGGCTTGCATCAGAGTTCGCGCTCTTAAGGACTGTGCTTTCTGCCTTTCTGCCTCTCTCTCTGGAAGAGACACCAGAAGGAAGTCCCTGTGGCAACGCCCAGCAGGTAGGTGGAACTTGTTTTGTAACCCAGGACCTGGGCAGAGATGAGATGTGGAGTCCACAGGCAAGGTCGAGATTGCCCAGGGAGAGTGAGGCACAGACAAAATCTGAATTTAGTGGAGAGGAGAAGGAAGAGGGGTTGGCTAAGGAAGTGAGAAAGACCAACCAGAGAAGCGGCTGAGAATCAGGATCGGATAGTGTCATGAAATTCAAAAGAACAATGCAATCAGCGGCATCAAATGCTACAAAAAGAGAGATAAGAACTGCTAAGAGACATTGGTGACCTTGGGGAAGCAGGTGCAGCAGAACAAGATGGGGTGTGGTCTGGGGTTGAAAAGAGATGGGCAAAGTGGCTGCAAGGAGTAGGGCAGACAGAATAGGTAGTGGGACGAACACTGGGTGGGGTCCGCAGACTTGAATTCCAACACTGGCTCAGACCTTTATTAGGTGTGTGACTTTACGGGGAGTCACTTAACATCCGGGAACTAAGCTCCACCCCTGAGGCTGCTGTAGGAATAGGAATTTGATGGCCAATGAATTTAGAGCCCTAGCAGCCCCTAGCTACGTGTGTTCAAGCCACGGAAGTAGCTTGGACTTTGAAGAGTGTTCTTCAAAGGTAAAGCCTGTCCACAGTTACTCTGTTGCTGGGGATGGTTCTGACACTTGGTACCACTGAGTCCCCCTCAGGCACCCACTGCTGGCAACCTGTCAGTCAGCTGAGATCCACGATGTTAAAGGACCCCCACCTGAGCCTCAGGCTGAAAGAAGACCCCACAGATCTATCGTTTGTGTGGTAAATTACAGATCTGTCATTTGTGTGATAAATTACAGCACTGGGATTTGAACCCTGGTGCTCTACCCCACCGCCTGTGCCCCATTAGAGCCATCACTTGGCTCTATGGGCCAGTGGTTAGGACTCTGCTTTAGGAGAAAGAACACCAGGTGGCAGATGTGGCTTTGCAGCTGGCTCAGTAAGGATGCTTGGACTGATTCCTTAACCTCACTGTACTGACCTGACTCTTGATGTGAGTAGGAGGAAAATGCGTCCAGAGATGAGCTTTGTGGTTTGCAGAGAAGGACGTCTCGTAGCGAGACTGGGAACCACAGAGTATAATCCGAGGGGCAGCTCTGTGGTTCTGATATCACCACGTGTGTGCTGAGAATTGTGCTACGTTCTCTCTCTGTCTGTTTTCTCCTTTTCTTCCCCGCTTCGTTTCTCAGTCTAACATTTTTTAAAATTAATTTTTATTGGAGTCTAGTTGCTTTCCAATGTTGTGTTAGTTTCTGCTGTGCAGCAAAGTGAATCAGCTATACGTATACATATATCCACTCCGTTTTGGATTTCCGTCCCACTTAGGTGACCACAGAGCACTGAGCAGAGTTCCCTGTGCTGTACAGTAGGTTCTCATTAGTTATCTATTTTATACATAGTATCAATAGTGTAGATGTGTCAATCCCAATCTCCCAATTCATCCCACCCTCTCCTTCCCTCCTTGATAACCATAAATTTGTTTTCTACCTCTGTGACTCTATTTCTGCTTTGCAAATAAGTTCATCTGTAGCATTTTTCTAGATTCCACATATAAGCGATATTATACGATATTTGTCTTTCTCTCTCTGGCTTACTTCACTCTGTATGACAGTCTCTAGGTCCACCCATGTTGCTGCAAATGGCATTATTTCGTTCCTTTTTATGGCTGAGTAGTATTCCATTGTATCTATGTACCACATCTTCTTTATCCATTCTTCTTTCGACGGACATTTAGGTTGCTTCCATGTCCTGGCTGTTGTAAAATCAAAACTACAATGAGGTATCACCTCACACCGGTCAGAATGGCCATCATCAAAAAATCTACAAACAGGGCTTCACTGGTGGCACAGTGGTTGAGAGTCCGCCTGCCAATGCAGGGGACAAGGGTTCGTGCCCCGGTCCGGGAAGATCCCACATACTGCGGAGCGGCTGGGCCCGTGAGCCATGGCCACTGAGCCTGTGCGTCCGGAGCCTGTGCTCCGCGGCGGGAGAGTCCACAACAGTGAGAGGCCCGCGTACCGCAAAAAAAAAAGAAAAAAAATCTACAGACAATAAATGCTGGACAGGGTGTGGAGAAAACGGAACCCTCCTATACTGTTGGTGGGAATGTAAATTTGTACAGCCACTGTGCAGAGCAGTATGGAGGTTCCTTAAAAATCTAAAAATAGAACTACCATACGACCCAGCAGTCCCACTCCTGGGCCTGTATCTGGAGAAAACCATAATTCGAAAGGATGTAGCATTTTAAAATCTTACATTCTCTCCTCTTCTGACTGCGTGTCCTACCCATCCACTCATTCATTGGACAAATATGAACTGGGCGCTTAGAAAACATTGTGCTGGACACCAGGGAGATGCGAAGTGGGGATTTAGAGAGAAATACGTCTCAGCCCTGGCCTTTAAGAGGTTTGAAATCTAGTGAGAGGAGAAACACATCTAAACAACAAACTGAAACAGACACATTTACAAGTGTCTTAGAACAGAGGGAAAATCCATGGGCCTCGGAGCCCCAGGGAGGATGGATTCTACTTAAAGGAGTTGCGGGAGGGGTAATGAGAAGGTGGCATTTGAGGTGCTTCTTGACAGGTGAGTGAGCATCCGGGGTAGAGGAGGGAAGGGCGCCTTCCCCAGGGGGAGGTACAAGGCCACAGAGCGTGCTGGTTGGTCAGGAAGGCATGTGATGGGCTCAGGGAAGCAGGAGCGCCAGGCTCCAGGCCAGGTGAAAGGAGGGTGGCATTGAAAGATGAGGGCCCTCTCGGCCACTCACCCTCTCTCTTCCTTCTCCTCTCTCTCTCCTGTTCCCTTTGATTTTAGCTGAGCTGCTTTCTTCTCTCTGCCTGCATCATCCTCACTGTCATTTTTCTCTCTGCTTGTCTACCTTTTTTCCTCTCTAAACTCTCTTTCTTTCTCTTTGCGGGGGGTGGCTAACAGATTGCATGCTGGCTGGCCATCCTGTGAGCTGGACCCGTAGCCCCTGCAGCAGCCATGTCCGGGCTCCCAGCACCCATCCTGCAGGCTGGGCAGAAAGGGGGTGGGCCGTGCAGGTTTCCGCTGTGCGCCTCCGTCCTTCGGTGACAGCCCAGACAATTTATACACCCTGTTGGCTGAGGCCGTATGTTGTCATAACCTGGGTCATTTCCTCATTTAATACCATCCATAAACTCCAATAAAACTGTCCTGGAGCCCAGTAGTCCAGGGAAGGAGAGGCACTGGGTTTGGAAGAATAGGAGAGGGGACCAGGACGGGGACGGGGGTGGGCGGGAGGTGAGGGGCCAGCGGGGGGAAGATCGGAGGACTCGAGGCCGAAGCCCGCGCCCCACCTGATGAGCGCCTTGTTTCCTTTCCTGCTCCCCACGTTTTGCCCCTGCCGCTGGCTGCAGTGTGTCAGATCCTTCCCAAGGGGGTGGTCGCTGTCCTGGGACCATCCTCCAGCCCGGCCTCCAGCTCTATCATCAGCAACATCTGTGGGGAGAAGGAGGTGAGTGCTGGGCAGGGTTGGGGGGCTCTCTGCAGGCTGGCAGCCTGTGCCCCAGGCCCAAAGGTATCGTGGATTCTTAAGGGCTGGAAGAGTGAATCAAGTTCTGGTTGGTGTCACTAATAACATCAATACAAATAAAAGAACTGGGCCTTTGTTGGGCACTTACTTTTTTCAGGTTGCTTGGATGGGGGGGACTCAGAGGAAGAGTTTCATAAGATTTTCAAGCTGAGCCCCTCCGAGTCTTGGGGTCCTGTGACAGGGGAAGGGGGGGGTCCCTCGAAGGCGGCAGGTAGAGGGAGAGGCTGGGGAGGGTGGTGGTCCAGGGGAGGCCAAGAGGGCAGAAGTCTGAGCTCTACAGGAACAGCTGCGGAGTCTCTGTTTAGATATTGGGATTCTGGAGAAGAATGCCTTTGGGGCCAGGCCTTGCTACATTTTAGTGCTGAAATAAAGTTTGAAAACCTCTGTTTTGTAAGCTCTCTAGAAAAGAGATTTTATTTCGCTTTCTTCTTCATTCACCAATTCCAGGGTTTACTTCTCCAAAGTGTTGGGTCCATTCCCTCTAGCGCTCGTTCCCTGGGAGACAAAGATGGTCGGGGATGAGTTTCTGAGTAATAGCCTGCTCCCTATTCCAGCAGCTCTCTCCCTCCTTTTCCCCCAGAGAAAACAAATTGGAAACTTCAGAGATTCTATTGCCGGAATCTTTCCTAGTCCTTGGAATCAATCAGTCCTTCCCCTTTCAGATACATTCCTGGGAGACAGTGGCAAGGTGACCCCATAGCCTCCCAAGGGCCTTCTAGCCAGGTCTTTTGGGAACAGATGGAGCTGGATGGTCAGGAGCTGTGGAGGGGCAGGGCGGAGGGACAGGGGACAGAAGGGCAAAATTTGCACCTGTCCTGGGAGCCTAGAGGCTCAGCCTTCCACAAGCGTTAGCTTTGGGAGCATCCAGTTCTTGCAATAGGATGGGGCACCTCCTTAGTGAGCTGCCCTCACCGAGGCAGTGGAGCAATAGACAGGCCCCTGCTTAGCCCAGGCCCTCTGGAAGCCACTCCCTTGATGCTCCCACTTCTCTTATGATCAGAGGGCTTGGTCCCTGAGGCTTTGGGAAGAATATTGGTCTTCTCTGTTTTAGGAACCCACGCTAAGAATTGTTATCAGCACAGTAGAGTGCCCTGCGGTCCTAGCTCCAGTCCTGCAATGGGTCTTACTTACCACTGCCCTGTAGGTTGAATCCTTGAGCTTCAGGCCATGGGCAGGGTCTGTGTTGACAGCTCCCCATCCTTCCTCCCAGATGTCCTGAAAGATGACTCCCGAGGCAGCCCAGGCCAAAAAGAAAGAGCTTCTGTCCCACTGCAGTCCCTTCCAGCATCTCCCAGGCCTGGGCCCCTGCAAGTTAGACCTGATGTTTAATTTAAACCTTTCTTGCCAGAGGCTCCACGTAACAGCTCAGATCTGTGGCAGGCTGTTATTTCCCGGTTGCTCTGATCTTCACCAAGTGAGGTTGCCAAGACTTCGGCTGCCCATTTCCTCTTTTCTGCTCTCTCCTTTTTGTTCCCCCCTCTCCCTCTTCCCCAGCACACTTTCCTCACTGTCCCCTACAGCCATCCCCCCAGTCCCCACTCCAGAATGGCCTCCTCTTGGTGTTCAGCGGCTATTTCATCTCAGCGAACACATCCCTTAACCCTGCATGGCATTTCAGGCTGGAGGTGGACACCCTGATTTGCACCCATCTTCCCATCCCACCGCCCCGGACCCTGTGTCGTTGACCAGCCAGGCGGGCTGTGCCGCCCAGGGAATGGCCAGACGGTTACCCCTCCTTTGTCTGGTCATGTTCCTTCCAGAGCAAGCTTCCCCCTCCATTCAGGTTTCGCACTTCTACTGTTATGAGGCTGAACTGCCTCACACTGATCCCCTTCAGCTTCAGGGAAAAGAAATGGAGCGCTCACTGAGGAGTTCATTCTTTTAAACGCTGCTAAGCTGTCTGTGGCCCCTGTGGCTGGCTGCTTTCTGCCTTGCTGCCCTCCCCTCCATGCCGCTCACCTCTCCATCCCCCCACCCCTCCATGATGACTTCCGGGGATGCATTTGCACCTGCAGATCCCTTTTGGATTGATCTCTGTCCCAGAGAGAGACTCAGCAGGATTGGCCTGGCCACATCCCTTCCGGGGCCCATCGGAGCAGCTGGCTGCCTCCCAGCCGCCTTCAAGATGCCAGGCTGTGCTGGAGACTTCCCACCAGCTCCCCTTCTTAGGGAGGCCCCCTCGGCCCTCACCCCTTGCACATACAGACCTAAGAGCTTTTCCGGGAGCTTCAAGGTTTGGGGAGAAAGGGGGAAGGGAATGAGAAAAGGCATTGCCTAAACACTTACCCCACATGTTAGGAACTGAACTAGCACATCCTTCACTTACAGGGTCTCGTTCTGTTCTCCCAAAGCTCAAGAGGCACCTGTTGTTTCTCCATGTTAATGAAGCTTAGCCAGGTTAAGCAGTTTGCCCCAAATCACACAGCAGAACCCAGACGCAAACCCAGGACTGCAGACTCTGAAACGCATTTCCCTGAGCCTTCACTTTCCTGAGCCTTTTGCCTGCTTCATCTCTGGGTTGGTGGATCCAAGGGAATCTCTAAGGGTACTTTCTATGGGGGGGTAGGTTAGCTGCTGCTGGAACCCGGTAGGCTGGATGGCCACACGGGGAGGGCCTCGGGCAGAGATGCTCAGATGCGTAAGCCAGCCAGCCTGGCCACCCTGCCCCTGCCCACCTTGGCCTCCATCTTACCCTTCTGTGACCTTTTTTCCTTTCAAGGTGCATTTGTTATTCATTTTACACAGATTGTAAGCGTTGCAAAATATCAGTGGGAAGAAAGACCCCTTAGGACACACCCCGGGTCAACGTCGCTCTTTAATGTCGTTACTCACCAGTCTCTCTCCCCAGTTCTATGCTTCTCAGTCTCTGCTAAAAAATATTGGTTGCCCTCTCTCTGTGGTTCAAGGGCTAATCCTAGTTGAATTCAGGAATTTTCTCCCTAGTTTCTGCTAAATCTTTACCCTCCCCTCATCCCAGTCTCAGAGGAGCTCTGGTCTCTGGCTGACTTCTTCCAGAAGCTTAAAAAGGATAAAAGGTAGCAGAATCCTACAGAGACCGTGTCAATGTCATCCCAGACTCTGGGCCAGCCCAGGCAGGGAAAACTTCTGCAATCATGTCTGAATAACCCATTCTAGGAACCAACCAACTCACCATCAGGAAGTTCTTCTTGCTGTCTACCCTCAATCTTACTCACTTTCACATCAGTCCAAACCCATGCTCACAATAATCTGGCCCTCACACTGGGCACCCTAAGTGAGGATGAGGGTTGAGGTTTCAGCCCCATCTCTGATAGAGGCACAAGCAGCCTGTAGCTCTTCTGGCCCTGGATACCAGGGTGACGTGATAAAATCAAGGTGGATGGCAGCTTATTACGTTTTAGCTTTCCTATTACCTACCCAATAGCCTAAGCTGCCGGTAAAGCAGCCATTCCAGCCTGTTAATATCTCTTTCCTGGAGAAGAGAGGCCGAAGGCAGGGGCAGTGCCTCCCTGAAATGTCAGGAATAGATGCAGAGGGAAGCTGACACTGTCCTAATGAAGCCAAAGCAGGTATTTATTTACCGGGCTCCATCCGGAGGCCCTAGAGATGGTTTCCCAGCCTGCAGCGCTTCCCCCTCCTCACGTAAGTCTCCGGAGGAACCCATCCCAGGCTTTTACCCAGGATGGGAGCTGGTTTATTTATCTGTTGGCTAGGCTGGGCTGAGGGGGCCCCTCCCTTAGTCCCCAGGGCATCTCTGCTCTGATTCATTAACCACACATCAAATAGTATAAGGATTATGCCTTCAAGAGCCATCTGTCTGTCTGCCCAGCAGTGGGCAGTTCTTCTGAGAATAAAGACCCACAGACCCCAGCTCCAAGGTCCACAGTACATTTACCCAGGTCCCCGGCTGAAGGGTTTCCCATTCTGGGTCTCAAGCGTTGTCATGGATGCCACGTCACCTTCCTCCTGTGGAGTGGGTGCCCCGAGTCTTGCAAGTTCCATCTCTTGCCAGGCAAAGGTCTTTTACAAAAGAAGCCACCCTCTGCAGCTTTGTCTCACTCATCCCTCTTTTCTTTTTGTCTCGCTGGTTCCGGATCGTCCCTGCTGCCCACTGTTGCTCCTCCGCCCAGGTCCCTCATTTCAAAGTGGCCCCGGAGGAGTTTATCAAGTTCCAGTTCCAGAGATTCACAACCCTGAACCTCCACCCCAGCAGCACTGACATCAGCGCGGCTGTAGCTGGGATCCTGAGCTTCTTCCATTGCACCACCGCCTGCCTCATCTGTGCCAAAGCAGAATGTAAGTTTCCCCAGGCTGGCTCCGCCCCAGATGGCCACATCCTGTTGATTTCAACCTGATTGATTTGCACACACACACACCCCCCCCCCCCCCCCCGCCGCCAATGA